AAACACACACACACACACACACACACACACACAAAGACACACAAACAAGTACACACACAAACACACACATACACTCACCCTCACACGTGTTGAAAAATCATGAGAATAAATAAACATTAAATTACTATGCATATACAGCAGTTTCCTGGACCCACGCCTTGTGTATTATGTACATTGTGGAGATCTTGTGATAATGCATCGTTGCTATTCAAAATCCCATTCTCTTCCTTGTCTTCGAATGACTTTCGAAGGCAGCTACACTTCACTCTAAAGGGTATGATTTGGGAAAAGACACCCTCTGTTAGAAGAGGGCTAGTAACTATTGTACCATGTCTAAGTTTACTCTTTGTGTACGGCGGGCTTGGTCAGCTAGGTGTTTTTACTCTTCCATCGACACAATTTTAGATCACTTAGGAGGCGGACTTTCTACCATGTCAGGCAGGGCAAATTCGGGCTGATACGGGTACAACATCACAGCAGAAAGCTCAAGATACTGGATAAAAATACTCTCCCCACTCGGGAATAGAGCTCGGGTCACATGTGTTGGACAGCAAAGCGCCGAACCGCTACACCACAGACACGTATTCTGTGACGTCAAAATGGTGACTTTTAGAGGTGCTTATACAATACGGGAGACCTTGAGGCGAAATTAGGCGCTCGTAAAAATAGCGAAATCGGAAAAACCGGCATGCTTTCTGTCCGTTGGTCAACTTTTATCGATTTCTTTTTAGCTCAACAGCATTTATGTCTATTTATACGTAGTACATGTAGTAGTATGGCAAACGTTGACCAAAGGCACAAAAACGTAACTTTTTAACTGTTTCCAAAGATTCTCTAGCTTTGGATGTCACCAAAGTTTGGTGATCATCATCTTGCTAATTTTACCTCCGACACCGTCGAATCCCACCCCCTCAAATTGCAAATATCTTGACTTATATTTAAGATAGATGGGTATTTTTTCCGTCCTAGACAAGACATAAGCTTTATCTCCCCACATATCGCTCCATATGCCCAAACATTGTCGAACGCCTGATTTCTCCACAATGCAATACATTTGGACCTCACCTCACAGAAGACCTGATCGATTTGAAAGAATTACATGTATGCAAAGACAGACTTAACGTGGCTGCTTCAGGCCTAAACAATCTATAAAGGTAAGTGGGGTATTTTCTAAATTGGGCCTTCCCATGTCTTCGTGTTTATTTCCACTCAGTGTGATCAATAAATACAGAGTCGGATTGTCTAATAAGTAAAAGAAAAACAAACTTGTTTGGCCAAATGAGAAGAGCAATTGATTGTACCAATCGAAAACGTCTTAGTGACTGATCGGCTCGGTAGAGCTTACTTGAGAGCTTAAATAAACGTTTTGGTTTAGCACACATGTGCGTGTAGATTTCATAACCCGATAGTCCACGCCAACCCATCTCCCTTCAATCCAGTCCGCGCTCAGTATACAACAAAGTAGCTTTGAAAACTTTATTGCCGCAGCTCTAGATTCTGAGGCGATTTTCTATTTTCGTACGGGCTCCTATGTATGCAAATTGCAGGGAAAACACCCCGTTACAATGAACAAACGGGTTCTGGGGCTGACCGGTTTCGTACGCAGAGTGTTCACAGATGGAGACCACTGGCACTTCCACCAACTGTCTTCTTTGACCTTTACTTGATCTGCACAGATCTATGATTTGAAAAAAAAATGAGAACATCGATTGCGAAATAAAGCAATGTTTTTTAAGTTCTATTATTCTTGAGGCTGGAAACACACAGCACAACAAAGGCAGTTATGGCCTTCGATGGGTTTGAATACAAAATGTTATAAAAGTAAGGGCACTGTGCAGTAACACCGCTGGTGTCGTCCTAGTGGACGAGACATTCATGCAATATCCAATATTACATTCAGAGAGCTGAAGATTAAATTTAATTACATTATACCAATGAGGTTATGGAAGGGTAGGGTTGTCCTTTAACAAACTTTCTAGGGGGGTTTCATTAACTCAATCTTGACTCTAAATTCGAACATGGGTAGTCATAATAAAAGCTCAAAACACACCAACGTATAATATAGGTACATGAACTATTTACGTTCCAATTCTAGAAAGACATAGTGGTATCACAACTCCATAAGGATTCCGTGAAATGTATGCCATGTAATGATGGATTGGGGTATCATCTAGCTATAAAAAGTAGAAACCAAAAGAGTGATTGTGCTTCGGTGCAATGATGTTTGCGTAGAAAGATATAAACTTTGTAGTCTGAAGAAAGATATCAATTAATGTGCTATGAAACAGTGCTTATTTGGGAATACAGAACCTAGCTAAGGTGTTCTAGCTTTTCATCTTATCGTCAAGATTAAAAGAAACTCTTGCGGAGGCGTATTTCTTAGTATGAATCTCAACGTTTTCGTACCTGCTATTTCTGCGGCCTTCAATGGGACCCTTGCGATGATACTAAACCTACCTCACTCACTTTTATATCTTTAATAAATTGTAGCCTATTGTCTCATTTTACAGATGCTACTCCTGTTTAAATAAATGTGTAGTTTGACCAAATCGTGGTACAGCGATATTATTAGGATCTTGTAAACAAAATATAATGAATGTAAGCAACAGAGCAATTATTGACCGTAAACATGGATTGAGAAGATGTGAATATCGCTGTGCGTTTGTGGTTCAAATAGTTATCGGTGAAGAAATAGCATCACACATTCGTGGTATGCTCAATCTGTAGGTCAGAAATGGACTCTGGACGACTTAATGGTGCTACAACCATATGTGCTACGTCACAGACTCCTCCTCTGACGTCATCAGATGATTTCACGCGAGTCCGAGCGGGTCCGGGCAAGTTTAAGGCTGAGACTGATCGCGGGAACTTCCCGTCAGCGCAAGGCTGTAAGGACGTCAACAGCGGGAGAGTGGACAAGGAAGTGCTTTGAGGTTTCGATGCGCATGCGTGGAATTCCGTGAGTGCACCTGAATCGATGGAATTGAAATTGTTCCGTAACTCTCTATGACTTGAGTTCTGAGGCAGATGTGACCCTGAGTGCCCTGTCGTGAAGCCCTGGCCACCCAGCTGTTGCTGGTTGCTTCTATCCGCAGGGCCTGAAAGGCGTTTATCACTTTCATCCCCATGGGCTGGGCATCCATCAGAGGGCGAATTTAGTTTTGTCGTTGGCGACTTTCGTAAAGGCAATCGTTGGTTTCCGCCATTCGTCGGAGAAAGTTGCGCAGTGGACGAGGGAGATGATTTGACCAGGGGTGCTGTTGTGTCCCCGCTGCTTTGGGCGGGAGGCGATTGGTCTGGAGATGGGAAGGTGAAGAAGTCTTTTTGAGAGGCTGACGAAGATTTTTGCTGAGGGCTGCTTCCTAAGACGGATGTTGTTGCGTTGTGAGGAGAAACTATTGACGTTAAGTCCTGGTTTGATAACCGGATAGCGTCTGCCTTTTGGCAGTGGCCAGTTTCTGCGTCACACGGTTCAAGCTGGGTGAGTTTGTAGTACTCGTCTTGGAAACCGTGAGAGGAATGATCGAGTGCTAATGGACTCATGGTCAGTGACGACGGTGTCAGGTTGAGATCTAGGGCTGGTTTTCTCGCTCCAAAGTCCATGACAGAACGAGAATGTTTTGAAGAGGAAAACAGCGATTTCCCACGACGGGGATGTAGAGGTGAGAGGTTGGATGGGCGTAATGAGGCATGGCGGGCTGCTCCGACCTGAGGTGAATCAGGTTTTGATCTGGATGAGAGAAGCCCTGCAGACGCTGGTGGTGAGGATATAGAGTCAGTTCCTTCACTCAGTCTGCTGGAGGGTGGCGTTGTGTTGTTGGTGTCTGTTATTGACGCTAAGCTATGACTCTGACCGCCACGGAGTTCACTTGCTCCGGAATTGTTCGTGTTCGAAGCGCTGTTGTTACTTGTTGTGTTTGACGAGGTACTGGCTGTCGTGATATTAGGATTAGCCATGCTCGGTCGGGGCATAGGTGGCAGGTAATGGGACATGGGGCTAGGGCTGAAGCTGATTCGTGGACTGGGGAGTGGGCTTGGAGTAGCCACTCCCCTTTGTAGTTGTAGAGGTGCCAGGAAATGATCATTGCGGCCATGGAGTCCCGCAGAAGTTGGCCAGATCTCCGGAGCGGGAGACGACGTGGATCGCAGGCTGGCTGAATCTCGTGTGTCGCATTCACCGCCTGTATCTGTCGACTGGCTGAAATAAAAACTGGGCGTGGCGTACAAACCGTGCGGGTGGGGCGAAGGCGAAGCGTTGTAAGAAGGCTGTAAGCTGTGGCTTGACATATACATGGGGGCAGGGCTCTGCGAGACGAGGCGGAGCAAGCTGTCAACATTGCGGGAGATGGATGAGAGGTCTTCGTGAAGGTCGTCCAGGCGTCGCTCCAGGCCTATGACAGTGTCACGTGTGCCCTCCAGCTCCATCTGTAACGTGTGAACCATCACCTGCTCCACAGAGCGCTCTGAAGACACTGAGGGGGGGAACAGAGAGAAATACATCAGTGCGTGAAGGAAGGAAAGGTAAATTAGAGAACTTTGACACATTTTCGTTAGTAAAAGTTTAAAGGCATCTGCAACATATTTTGGTCATGCATTGTAAGTGTCAAAGATTAGAGGTGTTACAGGAGAGTAACAAACACCAAAAAGAAGGAGAAAAGAGGACGGCAGTCGTATGAAAGGAAATACAATGCTAATCACATCCAGCCGAACACCTTCAATTTCGATTCTATTACTTCTCTTTTAGGTAATCCCAAATAGACATTTTTTGAAAAGCCAGGCGGATTCCAGCTGATAACTGGCCCGCTCAGCAAGCCAACCCTTTCATGAATCCTGGAGAGGAGAGAGGGGCAGCTATATGGCATTGTACTGTCTGCGATGATATCTATTTTGTACTGTCTGCGATGATTAATATCTATTCTCCAGCCAAGTAGCCAATATCTTTATCATTCCGAAGGAAAAAATGAAGGGAAGAAGAAAAGAAAACAAACATCTACCAGTATATAACATAGTAGTATGTAAAAAATCTAGGTATACTAAGTTGTTGTTGTATTTTTTTCCATAATTTAAACTCTACGTCCTCCCCTATTTCTCAGATCTTTGTTATTACTCTTTATTATTGTATGTAATGGGGTTGGGGGGGGGGGGGGAGTGTCGTACTGCTGTCGCGCGTAATATCATAGCTATGTATCCCTTTTTGCTATAAAAAAGACCGAAACTCACTAAGACCATTTTCACCTATTACGTACTAGTGTTCCTTATTTCTAGTACTAAGAAGAAATCAGACATAATAATATAATACAAAAAAAGAAATATTACTTTTGAAACAAAAGAAAACGTGGTTGACTTCGCAAAAGGCTTAAAGGCCTCAAACGGTCTTATTTCCTCCAAGGGCCAATTAGTGAAGACTTCACAAAAACAACGATTTAATAAAACCGTGTATCCCCCTTCTCTCTCTCTCTCTCTCTCTCTCTCTCTCTCTCTCTCTCTCTCTCTCTCTCTCTCTCTCTCTCTCTCTCTCTCTGTCTCTCTCTCTCTCTCTGTGTGCGTGTATGTGTATTTATGTGCATGTATGTGTGTGATTTTGTGTATGTGTATGAGTGCGTATGTTTGTGTGTATATATGTGTATATGTGTGAATGTGTGTGTGTGTGTGTGTGTGTGTGTGTGTGTGTGTGTGTGTGTATGTGTGTGTATGTGTGTGTGTGTGTGTGTGTAAGTGAATATGTACATGCGTGTGCGTGGTATTTATGTTTGTTTTTCCCTCCTAAAACACAGCCTACCAGTGTTGAGAGTGGGCAGCGTCCTGCACGGCTTGAGCTTATCCCTGGCCGCTCGTCGGTGCATGAGCCTTGTGCTGCTGGCCGCTGCTGTCCTTCGGAGGGCGAGGGAGGACAGGCTCGGGGTCACCGGGCCCAGTTTGGGCCTCTGGCTCACGTGACCAACCGGGGTTGTGGGCGTGGTTGGGACGCTAGGGGAGGCTGGAGTGGGAGGGACGTCGTCTCTGAAAATTGCATAAACAGTAGTCAAGAGTCTCAGAGAAGTTGTTCATGTCAAGCAAGATAACAGACAACAGGGGGTTACTGAGTAGAGTGCTGTTGGTTTTCAATAATGTCGGTTGTTACAAGAAAAACGAAATGTTCGTTTCAGTGAGACATTAAAACTAACGTGCGGGAATTGGGGAAATCTCTTAAAAATTTTACCATGCAGTACGAGCTTAATTGATTTTTGATGTTGTCTTTCAGATTACAAGACACGTATGCACAAGGCTCACAAACATTAACACACACGCACATACACACACCCTCACACAACCTCTCACACCCTCACACACACACACACACACACACACACACACACACACACACAAAAGCGCGCGCATACGTACATACATACACACACATGCACAAAAACATAAGTCAATCGCGCTGTCATGTAAATATAAAGATAATATCACGAATTTTAAGTCCATACTTCGAAAATAAATTGCCAGATCATATTAAAGTGTGATGTACCCTACTGAGAGGAAATATTAGTTTGTATCCAATGAATGCATAGTGGCGTGTTTATCGATGCCGATGAACTTTGAGAACCAAACTATAGATCTACGAAGTAGAAATATTTGTTTAATATCTTTAAAAATGTGGTTTTTTAGGCTTGAAGATAAACATACAGTGTTTAACTGAAAATGATTAATTACTCTATTAAAATTTGCAAAAACGACCATTTTGCGGTATGGAAAGTAAACAACAAAAAGGGTCTTTTCTTAGAACATTATGAATCATACTTGTAAAGTAGGAAAATTGGAGATTCCATAAGTGTTTAAATGTAATGTTTAAATTCAGTTATGTATTATATTATTGTATGCCATGAATAGTACCCGTATTTTCTGAAATCAACAATAACATTGAAAAGATAAATCAATGTTAGCAACAAAATTGCTTTAAGTCGTAAGGAGAAGAGATTTAAAAAATTAAAAAAAAACAATAACTGCTGGGATAGTCCGTTTTGGTCATGAAATTTATCACTGAACTTGTCAATATAAATGAAAGTTTATAAACCTTTTGGAGATACCATGCATAACGAAGAACATATTTTGAAAGGAACAAGGTTAGTCAAAGCAAAGAACGCCATTAAATTGACATTTATTCCAGAATTTAGTTGACTGCAAAAACCATAGTTTTTAAAATTGTCAAATAGATACTGCTTTTCAGATACAGTAACACAGTCAAATAAAACTTTAATTGATCTTAAATTATTTTCATAACGTTAGGTGATGAATCACGGTACCGGTATCTATAGTTTAACAAGATCAAAAGAAGAAATTGCTATTTACACCTCTCTACCAGTGTGTTTGGCATATTATTGTCCTATGTCTATGTTGAAATGTGCTTTATTGTTGTTGTTTTTATATAAAAAAACGATAACTAGCTAACAGTTCCCTTGAAGCCTCAAATTATAGATCCTATGATATCGGTATTAGATGTCCATAAAGCTGCAGTTTCCTCAATTTCAAGCACACGCTATTTTCACGTCCATTTCAAAAGCAAGTTATTCAAAAGTCCCAAACAATTAAATTTACGATAATGTCAGAGTGGAATTTTTTAAAAACACATTACGCCGCTGCCAGTCCCACTGAAATTTTACAAAACGATCCATCGGTAAACCGGAACTCGGCTGTATGAAGATAAAAGATTAAACAAAACAAAAGCACCCAACGTTTGTATCAATTAATGCATGTCTCTCATCTGATATTCTACAAAACGCAATTACAAAAGTCATTATCAAATAATATACTCTTTAACCATACACGAGTGATATCTAATCTTGAACACAAAATTTTCTCTATTTCGTGTTCTACATCTACATTTTCTCTCTACTTGGGAATTAGCATATACACACAGTAACAAAATTCTCGCATTACATGGTTTTTTTTAAAATTTAACACCAAAGTGTGTTGCAAAGGTATGATCTTCCCACTTAACTATCTGTAGTCGACATTTTATAAATTAATGAGGTTCACATAGTTAAGCACCTGTCATAAAAAACGAAGGTGAACAAAGATCTTCAGGGCGGTATAATATTATACTCCAGCATCAAGCACATAATGCACAGACTGCATTCAAGTTCGTTTTGCAATATGCACAGTGGCTGCTTCAAACTTTTAAAAAAATCACAGACCCAAAATAACCATGAATAAGCTGGTCATACAAGTTAGGCATTTCGGCAGTCATCACGTCAAAACAAAAGACAATATTATGAAAGATTACTAGCATATTATCCACCATTCCCAAATGTACATCAAAATTTGTCTTGATTTTAAAAGAAGAAAATTAAGTTTCAGAGATTCAGGAACATGTTTTATCTTGTTAAAATAATTGTTTAGCTCTATGTGCTTCCTCCAATATATTGGATACAGCCTGCCAACGAGACGGCACGTCTCAATGTTGAACGTGTGCAATCATATATATAGCTGTACAGTTTTATAGTTAAATATATTATTGAATCAAATGTTACCTAATCAAACCACCAATGGCTTTTGCATGTATTGGGGGACGACATTCAGTGATAAAGAACGCAGCTGCATGAATGCACTGCCAGAACAAAAGTGTATACATGTTATCTATTACTCTTTTATCGGCGTTCTATAGTTTCCCGAAAATATTTGTGTTACCTTTTAAAAGATTTACCCCCACCCCCCTCCCTTCCTTGTTTTCTCATTTTCAGAAAACTATTTGCCAAGAATTGTTGAATATTTATTCGGTTGACGTGAATCCTATAACAGCCACTAATTTACTGGCAAAGTTTATAATTATTATGTAAAAACCGTTTTAGTATCACCTTATTTGCATCGGTAATAAAAACATGTTAGTAGATAAGCATGCTTATATAGAAAGACACTCATTAAAATTTCTCGGAGACATCATTAGGTCAGATAAATTCTGGCTCGGCTGGATGTATTCTGCCAAAAGGCGTAACAAGCAAAAACCCATGCAAAACGCTCACGCATACGCGCACGCTCACAGACACACACAGACACATGCCTAAATGACATGCAATGAAACTCCATGAGGTGTTAGGCAGAACAACTAATAGTTTTATAATCATAGACCTGCGATTTACATTTATAATAATGTGAAGTTTTTTTAATTTATAAAGGTTAGTCAGGTACCTTGAATTATTGTACACTCGCAGTCACTAGAAAATACATGTTGAAATAGACTGGCCAGGGCTATGGGTAAGTAGACGAACACAATTTATATATATATATATATATATATATATATATATATATATATATATATATATATATATATATATATATATATATATATATTGTATACTTAGGATTAATTATAACAGGTAGGTAAGGTAAGTTTAGAATCAACTGCTTGACCACTACATCCAAGATATGTTCAAAGATTTGAGCTTAATAATCCTATCGTTATCGACATAAAGAGCCAAATTTGCCGGGTAGTTATTGAGCTCAGGCTCACAATTAATGTCAAGCAATATCGTTCACGTTGTGCCCTACATTTAAAGGTACATGTACGTGACCACCTGGGGTTGGTCCTGGAACAAGACAGACACGTCAAGCTTAAATAAGGGGCACTGCACTATGGCAACCAGCAATGACGTATTAATTGATAATATTGTTCCAGTGTTAGAATGTTATATTCCAGACTGTTCTATCAGCGACTGTGGTGTTACGATTAGGCAATTGGCTGTCGCAAGCAGAAATCCTGAGCTTGATTTTCGTATTTTCGTATGGAGAGTAATTTTATCAAATATAGAGGGATTTCTGGTGGGATAATGTAACTCTGTCAGCCTATATTGTCCCTGGCAGGTTGGGTCGAAACCCATCTCTCTGATTATCTATTTTGTATAAGGGGGTGCAAAAACACTAATATCTTAAGAAATAGACTATTATGCATGTTAAAGCAAAAGCAATCCTCCTACAAAAAAGTAATTCATTCTTCCCTTTCTTTGCAAAACAGACTCCAGTCCTTTTTTGCTTTAGTAATACGAAGGCATATAAAATTAGTTTTCGTGGTTTATGCTATAAAAAAGAGGGAGGAGTGTACGATAACTAATTACTGTTGTATTTCGTTTTATATTGCATATTTTCTGCTTGGGAAACTGAACTTTTATTACAGCTGCTGTAACAAATTATTAAGTAAATGACATTCTCATTTCGTAAGGAACAGTGAGAGTGACAACTACTGAAGGAACAGATAATTAATATAATGTAAACTTAATAATCTAGAAAACAGCGCGAATGAAGGTGACGAGACAAAGCAGTAGATTGAAAGTCAACAGCAGCAGAGGATAGATATATCATGAAGAAAGAAAATAATATGTGCAGGAAAACAACTCTCACGCGTGGGCGAAAATAAATTCTAAGAATAATATTCAGGCTACTAAAATACAAATCAGAAAGTCATTGCCAGATCTATGTCAAATATTCCACTGATTTTGGCTTATGCATAGCTAGATGTATGTGTTAACAGAATGGAATTCGTAGGAGAAAAAAAGCAAAAATATAAAACGATAGTATTACTAATCAAAGAACGCCATCTATAAATAAGGCAAAAGCGGAAATATATAGGCATGTGAGAAGATGCTTTGTTATGAATGTATGGACAAGAAAAGATAATAAACTGTACAATCATCTTTCTGTCTCCCTCTCTCTCTCTCTCTCTCTCTCTCTCTCTCTCTCTCTCTCTCTCTCTCTTTCTCACTCACTCTCTCTCTCTCTCTCTCTCTCTCTCTCTCTCTCTCTTTCTCACTCACTCTCTCTATTTTCTATGTCTTTGTCTCTGTCTCTGTCTCTGTCTTTGTCTCTCTCTCTCTTTCTCTCTCTCTCTCTCTCTCTCTCTCTCTCTCTCTCTCTTCCCCTTTCTCTCTCTATCTCCCTCTCACTATCCCTCTCTCTCTCTCGATCTCTTTCTCTCTCGCCCTCCGCCCCCTCTCTCTCCCTTTATCTCCTTTCCCATGTACACACTAAAGCAGTATGGCGTATAGGAAGGCTGTTGGAATGCTCTAAATGAGAGATTTGAGTGTGTGAAGAAAGAAACGTTGTATCACAATCGTCCGTGATTACCACAAATACAATTCCCATAATATATTTATATTACATAATGTAACACCCAGGATTATATAAAGGGTGTTTGGTGTGCATTTGTCAGGGCTTAAGTGTGGTAACTCTCGCAATCACTGATATAGTATAGCCTCCTATTGAGTGCGGCATGACCTTGTGCGCAATATCAAGGGTCACAATTAGGTCCCTTAATAGGGTTCAAGCTATGTCTTACTGGAAAGGAAACCGTGAGATATGATCGTCTTGATGAAGAAGGCATTACAATGTGGATTTTGGGGTGGGGTGGTGTGGGGGTGGGTTGGGGTGGTGTGGGGGTGGGTTGGGGTGGGGGTGGGGGTGGGGGGTTATTTTACTTTGCTTTTTCCGGGCTTTCGCTTTGTACATTAAGGATCTTAGTCACTTCCCGATAGAGGAAGGTATTTTATCGAGTGCATGTATATCCGTCTTTGTTTTCAGGATGTGCTATCCCACGCAACCTCTTGTAGCATACACATTCAATGCTATTCGCTAAGCCTTGTGTGGTTAGAGGTTTGAGAGATACTAAAAACGCAGATAAGAGGAAGCCGGGAGAGGTAAAAACATTGAAACTCTGTGTGGTGCACAGGTAGCAGTAACGAATTAAACGAATGTACTAAATGGGATTGGGGCCGGGGACACGCATCATAGTTGCTATTTTCATAGCAAATCAAGAGCATACAGCACTACGAACCAGCAAAAATGAGGTTGAAGTTATTAGTAAAACAATGTAACGCATTAAAACTTGACAAGCAAGAAGTAGACAAAAATCAGTTCTATAGGCCAATACAGAAGTCGAAACGAAGAAAAAAAAATATGTTGTCGTCTTTTTTGGTTTATAGCCAATCTTAACAGAATATCAATTACGAGGATACAATACTACCATGCATCTAATAGAACACAAAGGTTTGATTGTAATCAAAATAGAATTTCACATACTTACAGTGCTTAAAATCATTTCTACACGGATGGAATAGTATTAGTAAACATAAATTATATAGTTACGTCTACAGAAAAGCTAAGCGAAAGTAAATTAAGTATCGGAAGCACATCAAAGAGAACAGAGTAGTCTTTAAAACTGGAAAGAAAGTACAGCTATAATTATTGCTTGAGATGAAGGACTGAAAGAAAAGTAAGAATTAAAAGCACACATGCGATACACGAGTCATGTTCTAGTCGAGAAGATACAGGCACTACCTTTTTCTAGCTCTATTGATCCACTGTCTTAGCTTTTGTTGGTGTTTTCCAAAACGTAGGCTAGCAGAAGGGATGGTAAGAGAATCAATACACGCTTGCGCCAAAGACAAGGAAGGTGACTTGATATTGGCATAAACGTGCTTCAGGATTTGAAGGCCTTAAGTGAAAAGATTCTATCCCCAGCAATGTTGCTCCGAAGATAGAATCTTTTGACTTTAGAGCCTTGCTTTTGAATTCACGATAAACGTTTTGACATAAAGAAGAAACATAATTAAAGACAATGAAGACGACAAGAAGTTCAACAACAGATAAAATTAATAAAACCCTGCCCCTGATTCTCATATGTTCGCCTGGGGTATCAGCAGGTATTAAAAACAATGTCACAGTTTCAGTTTAAATTTTATGTTTTGTTTGACAGCCCTTTCTTCATGAAGGCGTTACCTATTTAAGAGGTAGGACCCCGAATCAACACCATGCTCTGAAAACAGTGGCTGGACAATCAGGGCAATCCAGACTATCGAGATCCAGCGTGGTTTTTATTAAGTTGAGATAGTCGTGTATTAAAAAAAACCCAACATGACGTTCTACTATTCTTACAGATACCGCAGTAATGATATCTTCTCTTGAGCTTAAAACTGTACAGTTTCTTCAAGTCAAAATTACATAGGCGTAAGAAGTTCAGAGTACTTAGTTCGGACTGTTCGTCAAAAGAACTATTATTAACTAGATAAAGAAGATCGATATACTACTCACTAAATCATAACAAGGTGCACATATTATTAGGGACAGTTGACTCACTGGCACACCATTGTGTGTTTAATTAATATGAGACCATCTACAAACAGTTGCATCACGATGTATGAGAGCCTTAAACCAATTTGGCAGTACTCAGTTCTACCAATGTGGTTGTGTAACAACAATCGCATGCATGTCAATTTCAAAACAATAGGTTTAAATTGAAAAAAAAAATGCCGAAAAGGGTGTAGAAATGCATTAATCGGTTACTTGTTACTTTCAACGCAAAGCATCCCCCAGACTTCTTATTTTCAGATCTGTGAGTATATTATTCCTAATCCCCAAACCGTCACTTTAATGATGACACTCAAGGACAATTTTCTAAACGTATAATACACAATGATACCTTATTACACCTCATATTCTTTGCGTGAAAGAATGTAATGGCTCATCAATGAATAGCCTATGGAATTCCAAATTTACTCTGCATAGGATATTTTAGTATTCTACTGGGTGAACAACAATAGTATTTAGTCCAAAGTAAAAAATAGTATAGATTTTAAAACAATAATTAGAAAGGTATCATACGTTTGTACACAATCCACCACCGCGGCAGTAAAAATGTATTCTAGAAAAGGTTATAATTGATACAGACGTGCTACAAATTCCAGGGAAAAGAAAAGGGAAAAAACCCCTCTAAAAGTGTGTTTTGCGATGCGTAGAGCACTGCGCGCCCTGCTAAAAATGTTGACGGAATGACGGAAGAAAGAATCATCATGTATGAGCACATGTTGAAATCGTTAAGTGAAGGCAAACGCTAAGCAATAATGAAACATGTGTACTTTATATGCAGTTCCCTGTTTTTTTAACTACAAATATGAATAAACAGTGCGCATAGGTTTGGGGTCCCTTTCAAGACAGTGACACGAACTGATAAGAGAAAAGGTTTCTCCATTTGGGCCATCAGATATTGGGCACAGAAAAGGGGAAGAATTCCAAAGAAGGCTCGTGAAACAACCTTAATTCTAACTGTGCCGCACAAGGGACACACTGGAAGTCCACGGCGTTCAAAAATAATGCTAAATATCAAACTTTGTGTCAATAAACATTTTGAGCCTGTTGCATGTATTCCGGTCACTTTCTAATTGCTTTACGGTGGTGCAAATAAAAAAAAAAAAATTACCAGAGACAAAATATGGACTCGAAGGGCAAAAGACAAACATAAGCAGGAAGACAAACTATCGACAGCGTTACAATACTTGACTTAATTTGACCATAAGCACAGTGAAAAGAAAATGGGACTGTCCAGATAAGTCTATGGGTGAAGGAAAAGGATTAACAGATACGTCCATGAAAAGCGGACATGAAATTTTGAAAGATATTTTCTTGTCTGTGGGAAAGTTTGGAAGAGTGGATATTATATGTTTGATTACAAGGATTATTTTCATTATGGAATCGCACAGCTTGTATTTAACGTTGTACATAAAAGAGAAAACAAGTTTGGGTAGTTAATATAATTCATATACTTTTTCTAAATTTCTATATGTCTCATATTTCAACAAACCATTGCAATACCAAAAATTGATGGATGACGATATTAAAAACATCAAAAATTTAACGTTAATTGGAATGTGCTTTCAACTAATGCGCGACTCTGCTTGGCCTACATGTTTATAAAAGGCTCTATGGGAACACATGTGAATTAAAATACATCTATTTAAACTAAGGATGCAATTAAGATCAAAATGCAAAACTACATTTTGGGGTTAGCGAGGTGCTCATAAAGTAATTTTGTGTTATTTTTTAAAAGGTGCACGCATCAGTTGGAAACTACTCCCAAAAACAATACTGGGTCTCTACATTGTTGTACAAAGCTGTGTCTAATTGATCTGAAATACTTAATTAGCAGATGCAAGGAAGTGAACGAAAATATTTTAAAAAATCTTTTATAGATAAATTACCTCAGAGCTGAAGCGATGTGCCCATTTGGCAATCTCCCTCTACTTGCCAGCCAATCAGAGCTAGACATATGAGATTCACTTCGCGAGAACTGAGCCAGCAATGGAGACAACGGAGTATTGCCTCTTCCCTCACCAGCCTCGTCCTCTTCATCATCTCGATGTTGATTCGATTTCGGGCGCTCTTTACACGTCATGCCCTCCTCGTTGTTGTTGTCTTCATCGTTATCCTCCTCTTCCTCGTCTTCCGAGATTGAAGGAAGAGTGATGACAGGAGCTGCCGTCGAGGATTCGTCCTACAGGAGAAAAAAAGGCCAGAAGTATAAAATAACTTTAAAGAGACAATTGGACTAAGATTATTATGTAACACATGTTTTTCGCCACATTTACTCTCACGACTTTTGCGGACTACAGAAAAAGATAACAATCACACCACCGACGCTGGTTTAAAAATACGCAAGTAAATAAAAGTCCAAACTGTACATTTCAAAACCTGAGTCAATTAAATATTGTAAAATAAAATAAAACTGACAGTTTGATACAATCAGTTCAAGGATGGTAAAATAAATACTTTTTTCACATAACAGGACAGAACAGTCTTGATGTATAACAGACATGTTTGAAGAAAACGTTCCTGTGAAACGTGCCAGAGGATGTCCAAAAATGAGAGCACAATTTTGAAGAAGTGAAGACAACTGTCGCCCAGTATGAACGCGGGGCATTTGAAAGGCCTGCTTTGTGGTGGGTGGGTTTTTTTTCGTTTTTAGTTAGGATACGTTTCGACGGGAGAATTAAGGCACTTTGGATTTTTCTCTAACTACTGCTGTTCGTTGTCAGTGAAAGCTAATGCCCATTTTTCAAACATCGAATTTCTAACACAGCCTGTTTGACAGATGTGCAGAGTTGGGTTCGTTATCAATGTTTACCTGATCCAATCAAGTTCCCGTTTCTTAGTGAGTCAGAAACAGTTCTTTCAAAGGTATATTTTGCTCAAAGAAGGGTAAATGACGGGCCAATTCTCCAATAGCTGCCAACACGGTCCTGAGTACCCCCCCCCCTCCCACACACTCATAATGCAGTATCTAAAATAAATCTTCATACTTAAGAGCATCAGCTTCCTTCTGCATGCTTTTTATGTAGAACAAAACCCATTCATATTTGTACACATGTAAAGGTCACCCTTTTACAGGTGCCAAATTCCTTTTTTTATTCCGGGCTATTCAGGTTTCTCAGCCTTGTGTGTCATCTAGTCCCACCCGGGGGGTTCTTGTGATAGAGGGGTGACGGTGTTCGCCTCTCTTCTCAATAGGTACTGGGGCTCGAATCCGGACAGCGACGGAAAATGTTTCCTCTCAAAATTTTCTCCTTTCCCCTCCTTTCCCCTCCTTTCCTGCTCTCTAACCGTGTTCTGCCGTCTGCTTTTGTCTACACTTTTTGCCCCCTCCCCCTAACCTTTACCCCCTCATTTGGGCTCCTGACTCTTTCTGCAGTCTTTCTACTGCTACTCCTCGGCTCCTTCTTTCACCCACATCCCTGACCTTATATGGTAGGTAAGATCTACACATAGCCTCCTCGGATAAGGGCGAACAATTTCGGAGGTCTCGTGTGCACGTTGTGCTCGTTAAAAATCCCTTGGTGGTCTACAATCGATAACAGTAGGATTCAGCCGCCACCCGGGCAAAATTCAAAATTTCCTACCAACTGAAATTGTTTAATGTGTCCCACGCGCTCAAATGGCCTTATGTAGTTGCGGCAGGGGCGAAGCGTCTATATATTCAAATAATCACTGCTTCTCTTCCTAATTTTGAAACATTGTCGCTGTCAAATTCATCCATAAACGTAAACCTCTTAAATTAAATGTCAAAAGACGTTCGTAATCAACAATGAACAGTATGCCTAACATTCAAAACGGTTTCACGGCCACAGAAATAGCCTCCTCACCCCTCTCGGGCCACTCCATAAGCAGTCGCAAGCTTTGATTAAGTAAGCTTAAAGTGAGGCTGGAAGAGTCTACCAATATAGCTGAAGGGAACATGTGCATAGCAGTCTAAGCTGTTTCATTGCCACATATACCCTGTTCACCCCTTTGGGGTCACAGTTATAATCAATCTCACATCCTGATTATATCAGCTAAACAACACTGGTCGAGTCTACCTCACAAATGTGAGGGGAACTAACTCCTAACAATCTCTTCACTGTTGCAAGTGCTTGCTTTTTTTCCTCGACTTTTTACCGTCCTATAATCAGATCGTGACCTCGATTATGACACCAGCTCCTGGCCGCGAAAGGCTAACAAAAACAGCCAAATGTGAAATTTAAAAAATTATAATTGTCATGTTCTACCAAAGACTCACTGGTAGCTCTATAACATATAGATCTAGTACTGACATCTCTGCTTCTTTGCTTTGTGTTTATGTATTCACATCTAAAGTTAAATTTAATTTTATTTGGAACTGATATTTAATAAGATACTTTCCCGATTATTTTGGCGGTTGAACATACAATATGAATTCCGGATTTGTTTTCATTCACAACTCAGAGTCGCCGCCTCGAGTAAGATTCTTGTGTCATATCTACAGGCCATATCTGGTCCCGTTTCACTTTGATTACCCTGTCAAACAAGTCAGCCTTCGCCCCTGGTTGCGAGCATTGTAAAACACTTATTTTTTTTAAAAAAGGTCCTACCCAGCTGAGCACTCCGCTACCATACGTGTACTCACATCGCTATGGTCCTCATGTCCTTCCCGGACATTGCACGTTAGATCGTTGGGCAGCTCCCTGCTGAACGTCTCGGCGAAGTCGGGGTACAGTAAGATCGACTCACACAGACCTTTCACCTGGATGCACAGCAGCTCACAGTAAGCCAGGGATCGCACGTCACAGCCGCTGATACTGACCGGGTCATCGTAGTCCAGGTCCGTGCCGAAAATATCGCCCTTACCTGATCGGTGGAAACACATGGGCATGTATATTAATGTTGCTTGGCTCAGTTATCGGGAAATAAATTGCTGCATTTTATGTAATTAAGTTTGAAACAAAAGCTATACTGGATACATTTAAGAAAACTTGGTATTTGTTGGGCATAACTTTGAAAGCTCATCCATAAAATTAAAATTAAAATAGAGTGCAGAAAAGTGATAACCTTAAAAATAAGAGTGATGCTCGAAAGATTTAGTAGGCATTTTTTTCCTTGTGTCTCTTGTTAGACACCAGGACAACGGTTTGATTGGTATTATATTGTCAGCTAAACTCAGTATCACTAATCAAATGTAATGGTTTATTATGAAAACCACAGCAGTCTGGTTTAAATGCGGTCAAATATCGCATAACAATATCCTATGATACTGCAGAATCGTTTTCTTTTCCGTTATTAATATGGGAAATCTGTGTGTTTTGCTCAACTTCTGAAAACTCATAATAACACAATAAAAATTTGTTACGCCTTTCTAATAGAATTCAAATAATAGATTGTTTATAGTCAAAACAATAGATATAGCCACATCGGTAGTTCTGGATGATGATCAGAGGTGTATGCCTATGATCTGTTTTAAAGAAGGTGACAAAATAGCCATACAAACTATGTAGTAACTATTTTATTTCGACGAACAAATAACGGGACATTTGCGTACCTAAAATCGCAATCACCTGGTCTTCTTTGAGGACTTCCATACTTCCACTACAGACATAGTAGAGGTAGTTCACTGCATCACCCTAAACAGAAACAGTACTTTTGGAAACAGCGAAGGTAAAGCATAAAGCTCATAACACCACTAGAACTGAATTTACTACAACAAGCTTTGGTGACGGTACAAAATGTAAAGTAAAATAGCTCTATGAGGCAGAGTGGTAGTACAATATGTGGCACTTTTAAATATATACTATCAATAATCTAATAATTTGAGAAGTGACGTCCTTGTCGAGTAGGAAGACGCTAGACTTATTCATACAGTTAAGAGTTCGATTTCTGGTTAAGTCGGATAGACCTTTGAATTCGTAGAAATGGTACTCTAATTCAAATTCAACACAGCACCAAGCAGTAACTGGATACAGGAAATCAGTTGGACAACGTTCTAGAAGCTGCCTTTTTTGGTTTGAAGTTAAAGTTAAGAAAAAAATAAATGATGACAATACCTTCCACTGCTATTAAGGCAAATATCACGATAAGCCACGTTTACCTTCCTCATAATCAATTCTCCAGGTCCACACACAAATCTCTCAGTGTGCAGGGAAATTGTCTTGAGACATCCTGGCGGCGCCTCTTTGAAGATAGGTAAAGAGAGAATCTCCCGATGAAGGTGAAGTCCAATCTCCCCTCTCATGTCTTCAGGGAAGTCTTTCAGAATCTGTTATAGACACGAATATGAGGGTAACAAGGTCAAAGTAACTACGTAGTTCATCTCTTTGGTAACTAAATGGACTTTAAAAAATGCGAGCGTTAAATATTCACATTCTGTTTTGGTTTTTGTTGGGGTTTTTTCTGCATTCGGATGACCTTTGGCTGTGTTTTGAATCAAAACGTGAATAATTGATTTGAACTATCTTTTTTGTAAAATAAAAGACTTACCCGCTAAATAAAAAAAATCATTTTTATTATGCTTTGGCTCTCGATCAATTCCTTGAACTGTTTAAAATTGAAAACATACGGCTGGAAAAGTGCTTCTAATAATCATAATAAATACTATCGACTTGATGGTACATATTAGATAATCTGTTTGACCAAAAGAATGGTGCTTTCTGCTACACGTCCTATTGTGATGTGATACCTATACTGTTATTATTGTTGATGTATCATATTTAACAGAACATAGAAACAAAACATTTTACCGGCACCTGTGTTCTTGTGATAAAGGTCTTCGTCGTTATTCTAAATGAACATGGAAGAAACTTTTTTTACTGGCAACTCTGCTCTAAGGATACCCTTCGCCTTTGCACGTTAAAGACGTGCGTTCGATCCCAGCGTAGGGAAGTCGTTCAACGAGTACTTCGACCGACCAACCGATCTACCGATCGACTGACAAACGAACCAACCAAGCATCCATCCATCCATCCATCCATCCATCCATCCATCCATCCATCCATCCATCCATCCATCCATCCATCCATCCATCCATCCATCCATCAAGTACAATCGACCGCAAACCTCTTTCACATCAATCCCGTTGTTGATGGACCACATAGCTTGGAAGTAATCCCGTATCCTGTGTTTTAGAGGCCGGGGAAAGTGGTGTATTCTGAAGAAATCCTTGAGGTCTTTGGTCTTGGAGTGGAAGGTGGCGCGGCGGGCGTACATCCTCTGAATGATCGTTGTCACATTTCCGAACACAACGGCATGCATGATGGCTGTATTGTAGGGATTTTAAAAAAAATTCTCAAGCTTCAGATTGTCTATATGATAATAAATAATAAAGAGCATCTGTATAGAACAAATAACCATTAAACAGCAAGCTCCAATAAACGCTTTACAATCTATGAGAATTTAATTATTACCCCAGCACATCAGTTGGATTTCTGAAACCATTTTAACTTTTCGAGAAGCGTAGAATGTGAGCAACCAATTTACTGGAGCTTGAATACTAACAGACGGAAACGATCTTTAACTGCCTATGGCTGGGTACACGTTCACGTCTGGGTGAAGCGAGGAAAATTCTTGTAAAGTGCCTTTCCCAAAGGACACAAAGTCAGGCCTGAGCCTCGAACTACCGACACACTACCTCGTGATTACGAGTCCAGTAGCTTAACAATCGGGGATTATGAGGTTTTCTTCGTGGCGTAAACTAGATGAAGACTGTCCAAGAAACGCGTAAAGACTTTCGTGAGCCTCAAAGCTATTTTGACTTCATTTGACCACATGAAGACTACAGGGAAATATTTGGTAATGCCACAGTTTCCTTCTAACTGAAAATGTGCATCCAGAGATTTTCTGTTTCTTTTACATGAAGAATTCCTAGAAGATTTTGGGTTTTAAAAACTGTTGAAATATTCATTTAGCGGCTATTTTAACAAGATCTAATCTTTTAAGAGGCCAGTGTTAGAAAGGTGGGACTTTGACAAAAAGGATTGTGTGGTTGTTGTTGTTTTTTTGACACTATCATTTTTTTTCCTTTTTGTCTTCAGATGTTGCAGTATGTTTAGAGCGACAATCTTTTTAATATTAAATGTGTTATCATTTGACCATTTTGCTTTAGTACTTCAGTCTTTTATCACACGCAAAAATGATTTTCGTGTAAACAGCAATAAGCCATAACAATAGAAGGCAAAACAATAGCGAGATATGTGACTCTGCTGGCAAATTATCTGTCATTGGGATTTTTTCTTCTTCCCTGAAAATCGATTTAATCTTTGCCCACCAGCGTCTGAGGTATAGCTCTTCGGTGCTTCGCCGTCGCAAGCAGAGGACCCGAAATTCAATTCCCGAGTGGGGAGAATTTATATCAGGTATTTCAGCTTTTCTGCTGGGATGTTATAATATTCCTCTCAGCTCAAGTGGGCAATGACAGTTATTGTCAAAGCGCACCTCTTGAATGATCAAAATTGTGTTGATTTTTGGGGAAAAGGGGGGGGGGGGGGGGGGGC